AAAAAAAAAAAAAAAAAAATCAACCTGTTTGTTCCTCTAGTACAGAGGATATAACATTCATCTACATCTGATATTTTTCTGCTTGTATGATGGTTATTTACTGTCACTTCCTACCACAATGTAAGCTCCCTGAAAGCAGGGACCCCATAAATCTCGAACCCCATAATTTCCACCTAGACTTCCCACTCATAGGCACTCAAATCTTAGTTTAAGGAACGTATGTCCACCACACATGTCCATGCATACATGCACCTGGGGAACCATGCCAGGGGCAGGGCATAAGAGGGCCATCTCCCTGTTAATTATTAAGACCAAATGAGTACAAAACACCTTTAGACCTGTCTTGAATTTCAGTGTTGAAATGATGATAAGAGGTTATTTAATCTTATATAAAATTTCAAAAATGAAGTCCCACTTGCCAAGAGAAAACTGTTTGTTTTTACAGAGCATACTATTTATTTTGAATATTAACTATGCAATTATACCTCAGAATTTGGTTTATCATACTGTGGTGAGGCTGATTTTCCATTTAATATAAAGGAACACATGTTCCATGCATGCCAGGGACAGGGGATCTGTCCTCCTTGCTCTTGTTTCCCACTCACAGCCCCGCTGACTGTTCTCTGCATTGTGAGTACATTCACTCTCCAAATTGTGCAACACAGAATCAGGCACCATGCTCCCAGTTTCCTGGCATTATATCACTGTTTTGCTTAAAAGAAAGAAGTGTTTGAGGTTAATCATAAAGGTAAATGCAAGTTTGTAACAACCAGGGAAAAGGCATGAAAGTTCAGGGATAAAGTTTAGAGGCAGAATACAATTTGTGAGAGTTAAAAGATAAATTTAGAATCTGTTATTTTGAATCTAATTACATTTCCAGTGGCAGTGGCTGATAAAGGTCTAAAATCTTAATTCTAATCAGTAAATAAATAGAATGAGAATTTATCTTCTAGGAATTCTACTTAAATAAATTTGAAATTATTTCCTTACTAGATGTTTTCTTGCATATGCCTTCCAATGTATTTTGTTTCAAGGGACTGCTATAAACCATTATTAATGGTTTGCTTCTTAAGGATTTACGATCAAGATGTACAGGAG